TTGCTCCAATTTTTATGTAACAATAACCTAAGTAAAATAAAATAATCTTCGACAATAACATAAGCAAAATAAAATAATCTTCGACAATAACCTAAGCAAAATAAAATAATCTTCGACAATAACCTAACCTATAAAAACTTCTGAAAATTTAATCTATTTCTTACAGACTCCAATTTTTATTTCTTTAATAAAAAACAACCTAAGAAAGATAAAATAATCTTCGATAACAGTCTAACCTATAAAAATTTCAAAAAATCTAATTAATTTCCTACAGATTGATTATACTGCACGATAATTACGTAATCTTGCCGCAATTTTTACTCCTACGATAATAATGTAAACAAACTAGAATAATAATCTTAACAACCCAACCTAAAAAAATTCATGCAGAAAATTTCCTACAGACTGGCTGCACGAACAACAGTATGTACGCTTAAAAATAAAAATCTCCAAATTTTCACTTCCATATACCATTTCAATTAAGAAGCATAACTCGCATAAACTTGACCAATTACGTACAATGGCCTGCCAGTTATTCCGACAACATGATATCCTACGGTACAAGCAAATAATTAATTAAGCAGAAAGTTCCCGTGACTAAGCGATGGAACGCGTTCATCTGCTCAGTACGCTCAGTGTTTTCCTTCGCAGATGTTCCTTTTTTTTCCCCTTCGTCGACGAGCGGTTCTCTACGCTGGCGCGAACACATACTATGTACATGTGTCGGCCAGTTTCTTGCTGGCCGCGGAGTGCAAGCTTCTCTTAGATACTTGTTATTTCAACGGGTTGGGCGTACAGGCTGTCGCTTCGTTTCGACGAAGTTCACGCGTGTTCGCATCGAAAGTGCCGCACGCGTTTGTATTAATTAACTCTCTGAGCCCATTATTATGCGTGTCCATTAACGCATGCGTTGCTTCGAGATATTCAACGCCGGAGGAATAGACCGCGTGTACCTCTGCTCGTTGCGTTAGAACGTCGTTCGAATAAGGAACACGGTGTTTCGCTGAACCAGTTTCTCGTTTCAGTAAATTGTGTTACGTTTCTTCGTCCACGCCATACCGAGTATAAAGTTCCCGGCGAGATTTCCTTTTTCTCCGTTGTCCGTCACCATTTTCCCTTTCTTCTCGAGATAATAACGAGAGAAAGGAACGAGAGACGGGGAGGGAAAATACCAGAACTATAGCTGTGAGGTGCAGACACGATCGTGTTATATTCACTGTACCATCGTACAAAAATAATTACGTGCGAAACACGTGCTATTCGACAAGCCACGAGAACGCAAGTGTACGTTTATTCGTACATTTTGATCTCAACTTTGCATGAACCAATCCAGCCCAGTCTTGTTTTTAGTTTTTTCCCTTTTTTTTTTTCGTCAGTTCATTTTTAGCCCGTGTGTACACAAAATTTTAGGGCCATCACACAGAAGAACGTTTAGCAGTTAATTAGGAGTTAATCTGACGATCGAATTAAATTCAAATTTAAGAGTTGTTAATTTTCTTTTTTTCCGCGTAATCTTCGTTTCGTCACGGTTGACAATTGACGCGTGTAAAGGCGCGTTTTTATAGATTCGCTTTCACCGTGACTCATGATCTTTCGCCGTGAATTCACGTTATCTTTCATTCAGAAACGATTTAATGATTCACGTGGCCATCTTGAGTGGAAGGGGGGAAAGGAGGGCGGAGGATCCTTTGATAAATCTGATCCAACTGAGAATAGATACGATACGATGGGTCTATTTTCAGCTGTTGTTGACTTCGCGAATAATTTTTGCTTACTTAAGTAAATCTGACGGAACTGATACGCACGCAATTCTCATCATTGTGCGCTCATATTCACGGGACACCCTGTACAAGGAGGAGCGTAATAACGATGAAAAATTGTCAATAATTTAACCACTTGCGCTGGCAGCTGATTGCGGACCATAACGAGTGACCAAACCGTATACAAACAGTTCGCCGCTTTCTTTTTGAACTCGGTACGATATCGCTGAATAGAAATGATCAATAAGTAGCAAATTTATTATTTGTTTTGCCTGAAGTTATATTTAAATATACTTAAAACTTAAATATATTTAAATATATATTAACTTGAATTATATATTATTTATAATATATATTATATATATATAACTTAAATTAAATATATATTAACTTAAATATATTACATATATTTAACTATACTTAAAACTGAGAAAATACTGCAATTTTGGGACAAAAAAAAAAAAGAGGTTAACCACTTGCGCTGGCAACTGATTGCGGACCATAACGAGTGACCGAACCGTATACAAACGATTCGTCGCTTTCTTTTTGAACTCGTCAGTACGATATCACTGGATAAAAATTATCAATAAGTAGCAAATTNAAACTAACAGGCACAAAGTACGTTGATTTTTTGAGCACGTGTTTACACGAAATATTAGAGGAAGTTCCAGTCGATATTAGATTATTCATATGCGGTTTATGCATGATGGAACTCTGCGGTATTTTAACCGAGTGGCTAGACAATTTTTAAATCAACACTTTACAAATAAATGGATAGGTCGTGGAGATGCTATTTGCATGGCCTGCTCGTTCTCCGGATTTGAATCCATTACCAGATTTTCATTTGTGGGGACATTTAAAATCTATTGTACACGCAACGTCGATTGAAAATACTGAAATACTACGAAATAGAATAGAGCAAGGCTTCCGACAAATTCGAGAAACACCAGGAATGATAGAGAGAGTAACCAGATGAATGACAAGACAAATGCAAGCTGCTCATTTCGAGCATCTTTTGTAAAAGTAAATTAAAACAGAAAATTCATTATATCTCATAAACGAAGACAAATAAGACATACATTTATATGACTTTTTTTCATTATTTTTAGGCGTGCAATCAGCTCCCGAAGTGGGTCTCACAAGTTGCAAAACATCCTGTATATAGATAGATATTTCATACTGAATTTGTGAAAGTATTCGAACATGTTTCATGTACATTTGCGAAACTTGAAAATGTTTCACGTACACATAAATCACGGATACTTTCACGAGCCACTGTGTATATCGTTAATTATTAATTCATCAAACAACGATTCAACGATTATTTATCTAATAACATCGCGCGATATTTCCAGTGCCTACTGTTTTGACGTGCTGCGCCGAATTCATCGAGAATCATGGCTTGGTGGACGGTATATATCGTCTGAGCGGCGTGACATCGAACATTCAGAGATTACGAAACGCGTTCGACGAGGATCGTGTTCCTGCATTGCATTCCGATGAAAGTATTCTACAAGATATTCATTCTGTAGCGTCGTTGTTGAAGATGTACTTCAGAGAACTACCGAACCCGCTCTGTACGTACCAGCTTTATTCTACTTTCGTTAGCGCGGTTCAGGCTAGCACCGACGCGGAGAGATTAAGGCGGATGAGGGACACCGTTCGAAAATTACCACCGCCGCATTACAGGTAATTTAGACGAAAAGAAAAAAGAAAAGCACATATGTTTGAAAAGTGACACAAAAATGTTACTTCGATTGAAGACAAGACTGAAGATTAATATATATATATACAGTTGTGACACTTTTGTAATCGGCAATTGTGCAATTCGAAAGTACGAAGATAATGTTAAAGCATAATTTGTACTTGCAGAACGTTGGAGTACCTTATGCGTCATTTAGTGAGAGTGGCAGCTCGAGGAGCGGAGACTGGCATGACGCCGCGTAACGTCGCCATTGTTTGGGCACCGAATCTGCTGAGGTGCAAGGAACTGGAGGTTGGCGGTGTAGCAGCGTTGCAGGGCGTCGGTGTACAGGCGGTGGTCACGGAATTTCTGGTCTGTTACGCCGAGTTGATATTCGGCGACGGCCCGGTCGGGCGGCCAAAGTCGCTGGCCATTACAACGCCGGCGAGATTGCTCAGCTTGGAAGAGGCACGGAACCGAAGTTTAAGAGGCGAGCCTGATTACGTGGAAGTGGGCGCCGGTCCAGCCGGGCTGCCGCTGCATTACCATACGGTCATAGAATTACCGCGAAAGAGAAACGGCTCGAAGCGTTCACCCTCGTTGAACTGGAGAGCTTTGTTCGGCCGAGGTGGCCTGGGTGCCAGAGGGAAAACAAGACAAGTTGGCACGCCACCTCAAACAGAAACGGTGCCAAGTTCCTTAAACTCGCTGCGACGGCTAAGACCGGTGAAAAGCGCGGACAGTCTGGACGGTGAGGACAGTTTAGGTCCTCTGTTAGGACCACCACCAGCTAGACCCTGCGGGCACAGTCGATCAGTCTCGCATGATTCGTATTTCGATCATTTAGCGGACGCGCCGAATGCCGCGTCGCCGTTGGATCTCTCGGAAATTCAGCTTAACTTCGACCTAGAGGAACGAGAGATGAGAATGTTCTCGGAGGAGGAGAGCGGGGGCGTGGCGTCGGTGGAGGCGTCGCCGCGGCGTCAGAGGACCGAGGGAACGCAGAATACTGCTGCCACCGGTGGTTCCAAGAGAAAGAGATCGCGATTAGAGGAAAGACTGCAGTGCGACGTTGAGTTGCGCTTCATTGATAGCCAAAGTCCTGATCAGGTACATAATACACAATTATATTATGCAATTATACATATATAGTAATATATTTTATATTTTATATACATATATTACACATTATATCAATATTATATATATATATACATATACATTATAGTATATTTTATGTACATATAATATATTACAAATATATATAATATAATTATATAATTGTTATATATTATATTATGATTAATGTGTAATATATGTATATAAAATATATTACTATATATATAAATATATTGTAATATATTTTATATACATATAGTACACACATATATGTATATCATAATATTATATATACATAGTATATTTTATGTACACATAATATATTACAAATATATATAATAAATTATATAATTGTAATGTATTATATTATGATATAATGTGTATATAAAATATATTACTATATATATATAAATATATTGTAATATATTTTATATACATATATTACACATATCATTATATTATACATACATAATATATTTTATGTACACATAAATATTACAAATATATATAATATAATTATATAATTATAATATATTATATTATGATTAATGTGTAATATATGAATATAAAATATATTACTATGTATATATAGTATATTTTAGGTACACATAATATATTACAAATATATATAATATAATTATATAATTGTAATGTATTATATTATGATATAATGTGTATGTAAAATATATTACTATATATATATAAATATATTGTAATATATTGTAATATATTTTGTGTACATAAAATATATTACAATTATACGTTTATTTTGGTTGCGAGGGTGACATCTCTACAATATTATATACATATATTATTAATCGTTGCTGTTACATTGTTGGTTACATTGACTGACAAATGCTTGTCCACAGGTGATGGTGTCGGCAGATGTTCACAGCATGGATACCCCATCCCCTTTGCCAACGCCAGGGTACCTTCCATTATTATCCGAGGCTTCGACCCCACTCACACCGGCAACGCTACACGGAACACCGCATTCCGCATCACCTGTACCAGCTAACAGTCCTAGGATAAGTTTCCGAAGTTTCACTCTACCTTTAGAGATCGACGACGAGCAGAGCAACGCGAACAAATTGAACAGAGCTAGCGTGTCTTCCGATAAATCATCCGACCCTAGTCATAGGTTATCCGTAAACTTAGATGGGCAGGGCAACGCCAAATCCTGCGAGAGGATAATGACGTACGACAAGCACGTTGATTTGTACGACGACAAAGAGTCTTCCAAGGCTCAGAAGACTTCGAAGGGATCGAACATAGTTGTATCGGACGTAGTCGACCAAGACATGATGCCTTGCGACAGGCTAATGTCACATCCTAGCGAGATAGAGCCTAGTAAAATAACGATATCCCCGTGTAACAATAAAGACGTAGAAAATAGGTGTTGTCCGAACTCGTGTCCCGTCGACGATAACAAGTCGCACGGCGATTGCGGCAGGGACACGTTGGACGTGAGAAAACACGACGCATCGATCAACAACAACAACAAGTCGGTCGCAGTCGGTTCGCAGAACGACCACGCCATGGCTGGGAATTCAAACGGACACAGAAACGAGTTGCCAGGACTGGCATTATCCAGCGCCACCGATCTCGACTCGCCGATGTCTTGCGAGCAGACGATCGAGGACCTGCCTGACTCCGGCTTCGTCATTTGCGACAACTCCGACAAGATGTTCACCAATACGGAAACGTCGCAGATGATGTCGAACACCAACGATTCCGGTGAATGGGTGATAGTGGAGACAACTGGCTCGATCACCACGCCGACCAGCGAGTCAAGCAGCTCGAAGGATCCTCTGGAGGGGACGGTGAACAACGCGATCGCGACCGACGCGCCTCAATTAAGGTCGATGTCGGAGAACGTTTCCAGAACCTCGTTGGATCTCACTATGGGCTCGACGGTGGACACAGACACGTCGTGCATCGGCGTCAGCGACTTGACCGAGAGTCCTGTTCTTCCTCAGGAATCAGCCGAGATGACGTTCGACGTTGCTGACAACAGAGAGCTCGACGAACGCGACACCGCCGCGCAGATATCTTCTAGAGCTTTCGACGAGCAAACCGGCTTCGGAATGGTGAACTCTGGCGGCAGTAACTTTCCAAGCATCGTTCACTCGCCCGTGCACGACCAGGACAACGGGAATCAGAAAATGCGCGCCATCGGTATGACGGACGTTCGTCCGAGTGCGAAGCCTGGCGAAATGGTGCACGAGGTCACCGCTTGTTACGCGCAGCTGGACAACACCGAGGCGTTCAACAGGAACGAGAATCCAGCGAAGGAAGATGAAAGAACGGCGGATGAGGAAACATTCGACAACTCTCAACGCTCGTCGAAAAGCCTCGACTTTCAGCAAAAGGACGTCCGACGTTCGTTGCAACTTCATCAGAAGCCGCCGTATCAAGCGAGCGATCGGCGCTCGTTCACCGTTGCCCAGTCGAAGAAGAGCCAGGACGTAGACCTCTCGTCGCCCGGTACCGAGAGCGGCAAGCAACAATATAGCTGCCAGGGCCAAAAGCCAGAAAAGTGCCAAAGCTTCGAATACAAAGTTTCACCAAAGGAATCAGGCCAGAACAGCCAACAGCACAAGGAGCCTTCCAAGTGTAACAGCGTGAAGAACAGTCAGCTGCAAGAGCAGATCGAGGTAGTGATACCGTCGGAGAACGCCGCTGAAGCCAGTGAGATAGCTCATCCGCCAGAGGGCGCGTCCGAGACAACGTCGTTGAACTCGTCCTGCACGTTCTCGAACGCATCGTCACCGGTGGACGACTCGATCGTTCTCCGAGACACGGCCGCTATACTTCAAGAGCTGGCGTTGCAGAGATTGTCCGGCGGTATCGTGAGCGATCTGTCCGTTCCACCGCGAAGGCGATACGAGACGGAGAGTAGCAAAGATCGGAGGAGCTTCGACTCGGAGATCGGCCGGGAGATCGTTCGCGAGAGGAAGATGAGGCAGGAGCTGGATTCTGCCCGAGGGAAGTCGGAGGAGCCGCCGGTGAACAACACGCAGCATCTGCCGCCCTGTTTGAGAGCACGCCACGCGAGAGCAACGCGAGCATCTCTCAGCAGGTCGCTGGACGAGGCCAAGTTCAACAAAATGACGGAGGAAGCTTCGCTGCCGGTGAAACAGGCCTCGGACGACGCTCAGCACAGCTCCACGCCCAACGTCGGCACTGGCTCGAACAGTTCAACCGGCAATCCCGACAAGGCCCACCTGAAGAACCTTGGCGGCCTAGACCTCGGCGATCCACAGTGCAGAGAGAGGATAGAAAAGTACAAAGAGGAGAGGAGGACGTTCTTGAGGGACAAGTACAGATCGGAGAGTTTCCGGGGGGGCATGTTGTCGAAGACGGAGGACGACGGGGAGCAGGCGCTTCTTGCTAGGTTAAAGCAGAGAGCCTCCAGGCCCTCCCTTCATTGATATTAAACTAATGTTTATGGAATACCGTTCTGTCAAAACCTTTTCCCCCTCGCCTCCCGCGTTTGAACACAATTGAACACAATTGTCGGATCACAATTGCGCCGCGCGGTCGAACGACGATGCAACAAAACGCGTCGTTTTGCGTTTAACCCTTTGCTCTCTCTCTCTTTCTCTCTCTCTCGACGTTTCTTAGAACTTTTTCGAACGTTTGTTCTCTCTCGTTTGTTTTTTCCTGTTTTTCAAATTCGCAGGAGAGGAACACGGTAACTCGAACTTCGCTACGTTTATTGACACGATTATATTATTGTTCTCTTTTTTTTTTTGTCTTTTTATTTCATTTTTTTTGGAATGAAACGTAAACGTTGGTTTGCGTCTTAGATTAATCTTGGAGCGTGAAGGGTTAAATCGATTGGAACGGGAAAAAAAGAGAGAAAGAGTTTGCTTTTGAAAAAGAAAATGAAATCGGAGGTTCTTTTTCTTTTTTTTTTTTTTTCTTTTTTCTTTTTTCCTTACCTCCGCGAAGCAACATAATTTGCACCGGGTGTAGTCGAAGGGTTAACGCGCCTCGCGCTAAGAAAATAGAAGGCTTCCGTCGAACGAATGGCTGTTCCAGAAGAGGATGTTGGTTAGGGATGGGATCAAGTCCAATATGTACTTACGAGTCCGAGTCAAGTTCGATACTCGAGTTTCCGAAGAGAACGACCGTCGAATGCGGACGCCAACGTTTGAAATACAAAAGCACTGACCGCGAACGTGAGATTTCGGGCGTTTGAAAATCGCAACGTGAAAAAATAGTAATATGCCTCGTACGCTCGAGGAAAATTGTTTGACGCATGCTTGGAAAGCATGCTAGGAAATTCCATCTTAAAAAAATTCGACTCCAAGGTTCTACGCTCGAGAGCGTGGTTTTCACCTTACCTTTCGATGTTAAATAAAACATCGAGATATAAGAGAAAACTTAAATTTCATCAATTTTAAATGAAATTCAAGTTGAACCATATTTTCAGTGATGCTTTGAAAATTACTTCTTTCAGAAATTAGAGATACGAGAAAATAAAATGAAGAATCAATTGACGATTATTAACTTACTGATTGTTAAAATAAGAATTAATGTGAAAGAAAAGTTAAAATACAAAGAAATTAAAAGAATAACCAATAATTAAAAGAAATCGTTTATTTTTACTAGGAAATCAGAATTAATATAAAAAAAAAAAATAAAATAAAAACTAAAAGAAATGTAAAAAAAATTAAAGTAACAAGGAAATTAGAAAGATAATGAAGAAATTATTTATTTCAGTGGGAAGATTCGAATTTTCGTTACTTACGAAACATTCGAAATTACTCCGCTTAGTATTCGAGCTAGTACCCATTAATACCTCGTTAAGTACCATTCGAGGATGCTCTATAACGAAGGATTTGAATCGAACGATCAAATAGTTCGTGCGTACTTGCGAGGCACTCGATCCCATCTCTGATGTTGGTACACACGCACTAGCCAGTTGTACGTATGCACGTACACGACCGGCGAGGCTTATCGATTTGCTCTCACGGCTAGCGAGATGGACGAACGAGACCGGAGCGAAATAGAAGCAACTTCCGCATTCCCTTCGCGAGCCGACTTTACGAGCTCTACCAGCCGAAAACCGTGTTGCGGCGAACAGCAACAACGCCGGAGCTTATCGACGAAAACGAGATGCTTGAAAACGCGAGGAAGCAAAGGGCGATAGGGGACAAAGAGGCAGCAGCCCATCCAAGAGATCTACGAAAATCTTTTGTCACCCGTTGAACAACCACTTTCATTCGCTTCTCTATTTGTCGAATCGAAAAAAAGCTTCGGCGCACGCACGTATCGCAGTATTTTTGCAAAGGACAAAAATGATGATTGACGAAATCTGTTTTTACAAATTTATAATCTGTTTCTGTCATTCGATGCGTACGAACAGTAACAATTTTCAGTAACGAATCATAATACAATAATAGTATGACATAAAGATTGAAGACTCGGAAAGACATTGAGGCGAGAATGGTTTTTTTTTCTTTGCAATTCTAACGTGCGTGAATATTTTTAATTGTTTAGAAGAGTTTTTTTCCTAATGTTGTATTCGAAAGAAAATATATATATAGAGAATATATTTTATGTATGTAAAAGACAAATTATTAAATTATATTTATAATATTTATGTAATTAATATATATAAATATATATGACATAATATTATATATAATATATATAATATAATAAATATTATAAATATAATTTAATAATTTGTTATAATATTTACATTATAATTATAATTATATATATAAAGGACAAACTATTAAATTAGATTAGACTTTAATTTATATAATAATTATTATTATTAATTTATGTATTATTATTATTATATTCTATATAATTTAATTAATATTGAATTAAATGTAAAAACCTGACGGAGATATCGTGGCTAGAAGAAATCATATTCCGCCACGTAAAAAAGAGAAAGCAAACGGAATCGGTGAAAGTTGAACGAAGAAATAATTGAAAGAAGAGAAGAAAGAGAGAGGAGAGACAGAGTTGAATTTTCAGGAGGACGCGAGACCGTCTCTCCGGACCTACACCAAACAGGGATCGTAACTGAGTAATTAATAAAAAGACAAAATTTTGTTTTGCCTGGGTTATACTTAAATATATACTTAAAACTGAGAGAATGTTGGAATGTTGGAGCAAAAAAATTCTCGACGTGCGTGGCAAGAAGCTAATGATTCTTTTTTTTTTTAATGACTTTAAAGAAAATTAAAAACTTCTTAAATTTCAATTTCCGCCGCTACATTTATTTATTTACCTTCCCCTTTTTAAATATTTATATACTAGTTTATTATGACTCATCGGAACCAAGCAAATTATTACCTAACCCTGACTGAGTTTTCTAGGAAATCATTTCATCGCACTTTTACAAAGTTTCACCGGCTGGTAACGCTCCTATCCTTCCTTTACGACGCAATATCCTTTTAACAACGAAATTACAAAGGCAGCCAATTTTCATCCAAGAATGCACAGAAAATTACACGGATCACTCATTCTGCCTCTAAAGCTCTAAACGTTATTTATTAACGTTGTCTAAACGAATATGTGCGAGGGAACCACAGAGAACGAGATTCGAACTCCTTTCCGGGTTCATTTTGTTCCCTTTAACCTCTTGTGCCATGCACGTCGAGAATTTTTTGTTCCAAAAATTGTAATATTTCCTCAGTTTTAAGTATATTTAAACGAAATAGGCAAAACAAAAAATAAGTTTACTTACTTCCCAATAATTTCTATCCAGTGATATCCATATCAACGAGTTCAAAAAGAAAGCGACGAGTTACTGTATATATACATGGTCTCTCGTTATGGTCCGCAATCGGTTGCCAGAGTAAGTGGCTAATTTTGTCAAAAGATTTGGCCTCTCTCGTTTAATGCAATTAATAATATAATATAATATATTATATTATATTATATTATATTATATTATATTATATTATATTATATTGTATTGTATTGTATTGTATTGTATTGTATTGTATTGTATTGTANCTTTTTTTTTTTTTTCTTTTTTTAGTCGCTCTTGTTAACAGAACAGTTCGACGAATACGTAATTCGTAAATGTATTTTTAATTTATTATTATAATCGATATTTTATATATATATATATATATATATATATATATATATATATTATATACATTTATTAGAATTATTTCTGTTATTGTTAACGAGTAAGAAATCATTTTCTCCATTATTGTTATCGCTCCCAAAGATTTGTCCCATTTATTAGAGCTTCTCGCGCTGTTCTGTTAATCGATCCTCCCATTATAATTTAAAACGACATTATGATGCGTACGACGAGTGTGTCGGGTTTGCGGGACCCAAAATTATTGTTGTCGATCCTTTGCACTTCGAAACTCTCCATTTTTTGACGCGAGTTGAAAGAGAGAAAAAAAAAGAAGAAGAAGAAGAAGAAGAAGAAGAAGAAAAAGAAGATAGGGGAGGTAACTATGTAAGCTTGTTTGACAAATTTTACGCAAAGTTAAGTTTTCACGTACGAATTTATATGTATAAATGATACTCTCTTTGTGATGCGGTTGAACGCGAAAAAAAAAGAGGGGGGAAGAATCTTCGAGTGATCTGCTAACGCAAGTATTGTTTTTTTTTAAGTGTCCTGCTGTTTGTTCGTGAGTAACGAGAAACAAATTAGAAAAAAATAAAAGAACGAAAAGGGGAAAGGAAGAGGGAAAAAAAAAAAAAAAAAGAACACGACCAAATTGTACGAAACTCTGTTTGGTCAGAGCTGATGTTCGAGACGTTCGTTGAGTTGAGGTACGGGTGCAAAGGGAATTTCATGCTTTTTAATGGGAGCGCGTGTCTTCGTGTCCTCGATCGGTGTAGTTGAGTTAAGGTACGAATCGGAAACGCTTCCCCGTTTTTAACTGTAAATTTCGTTGTTGTTCACCGTGTATTTTTATACGAGACGGAAGCGCGTTGGCGCCCTAATCGTAGCGAGATTGCGAAAGCTTGTTCGTTCAATGATTGTTCCAAATGTGTGTCTGCGTGAGTGTGCGCGTGTTTTAATTAAGCGTCTTCTGTCGCTTCCTGTATTTTTTTCTTTCTCTTTTTTTGAATTTCAACTCTGTTTGAACTTCTCTCTTTTTTTTTTTTTAAGAATATTGTTAATTACTTTGTTTTATTGATATTCGTATTTTTTTTTTTTTCTTTTTAAGTTTTACGCGCCGATTGCTTGTCACGTGTATGAAGAAAGATAGCACGTTAGTTAGAGATTTCTTTTTTAAATACGTTATACACTCTGTTAGCGATAAATCGATAAGTCGGAAAGAAATTAGAATACTCGTTGATACTCGTGTTCAGTTTTACGTTAGAGGCTCTGGTACACTCGATGGAATTTTTTCTTTTTTTTTGTTGTTCGTACTTTACCGGAGGTGAGATTTTTTTCTTTTATATATATATATACACACACACACACGTGTACGTACGATTGAAAAATCGTCGTATTAAGTTAAGCATTCGATATACACACGTTGATATATCTTCTCTCTTTTGCCGTGGACTGGTCCACGGTCCCCGTGTATCACCTCCTTTTGTATATGCTTGATTATTATTATTATTATTATTATTATTATTATTATTATTATTATTTAGTCGACGTGTAATATATTAATTTATATATATATATATATATTCCCCAGTAAAAGAAATGCTTTGCTTAAAATCAAGATTACCGAAGACACCGATTGTTTCATTTGACGATGAGAGTTATTTTTTATTTGACGATCACCATTACACAACGTTCGATCGAGAAACGCAACTTTTATATTTATGTTTCCATCACAAATGTTTCTCGTTTTCTTTTTCTTTCTTTCTTTTTACTGTAATTCTTTTACCCTCTCGAATTATTCGGAATCTCGTCGACTGCGTTTATCCTTGACATTTATCTGCCTGTTATTACTATATTTTGCCAT